ACATATTTAACGAAGTTGGCATATTTTTCATCTAAAGACATGTCATTTGAATACTCAGTCTTTCGTTTCTCCTCTACCTCATCTTCAAAACATTTTGTCAGTGATTGATTTTGAAGTTTCTTTGGGTCTAATTTAAGCCGTCCATTCTTTTTCTTCTTTTGTCGACATTTGAGGTGGATTCTTATTTTTGTTCGCATGAGATGATGATCAGTACCAATGGCGCCCCCTGCTGCCCGATAAGCTCTAACATCGTGTACGCTAGTTCTAAACTTTCTGTTGACCAAGGTGTAATCCAACATGTGCCATTCTTTTGTTCCTGGATGCATCCATGATGTTTGATGCACAGGTTTGTGCTCAAAGAAGGTGTTTGTAACAACCATGTTGTTAATTGAACAAAAGTCAACTAGTAATTCACCATTGAGATTTTCCACAACTGTATGTCTGCCAACCACTTCACCCGCTGTCAAATTTTGTTGTTGACCCAGCCGTGCATTAAAATCTCCCATTACCAATACCATATCCTGCTTTTGTACCTTATCAATCGTTTCTTGCAAACATTTATAGAAATCCTCCGATGCCTCAACTTCACTTTTTTGTCCATTTGCTGGATTGACCGGAGCATAAACAGCAATCACTGTAATGTTAATCGGTTTGCATCCCAATCGAACTGTAAGTATTCGCGAGCTGACTGCTTCCCATGCTGATCCTGAAGCTTTCCACACTTTTGCTGCTGACTGATCCAGACACACGGCCATTCCATGGGCCCTTTTTGTTTTCTCATCACTCGGTAGACCGGAGTGAATGATTGTGTGGTCAGCAAGCTCTGATACCCCTGAATCATACATTCCAGTCTCACATAACACACCAATTTGGATTTTATATTGTTTAAGTTGTTGGATGATTAGTTGTCGTTTTGGTTGACGAAAACACGAACGAACATTCCACGCACCGAAGAACGTGATTTTACGTGTCATCACACGATTTTTCTGATCTTTTTCTGTAGCCATTGAAGTTTAGAGTCCTGCCAATAGGGGGCTAACCTAAGAACAAGACAGGCTGGCTACCGGCAGCTCAGGGTCGCCATCCCACCCTGTGGATATTTCATAAGAAACAACCCCGGCAAGCCCCCCTACCAGTGAATAGTAACTAACGGCCACGGCTCTCGAGTGAGTTTGTCTGAAAAGAAGGCAGAGAGAGGAGCGAAATAGAAAGAAAGAAAGTAAAGAATGAAGCAATGCTTTTTATTATTTTTCTCCACGGTTTGGCATTTTCACGACAAAATGAAGTTTTCTTAGGGAATACGAAACAGTATAGAGTATTTTGCAGTTTTCTCGTAAACGAAAAGAGTTTAAAATCTTTTATTTTAACGTGAAATACTGTATCATCCGGGTTACCTTTTGAGTACTTTGAACTTGGGTTCCGATTAGGGGTGTTAATTTAGTACAACTTTAGAAAATAAATATAAATGAAATATTTTGTTGCTATTGATACCTACTGGAGGTTTCAGCAATGGCTATTGACACCACCATCAGAGGTGTCACGAAGGTGTATTGACATCCCCAACGTGCAGTGCATGAAATAAAGCTAGAACCAGTCTTTTAAGGCATTTCTGTATTTCTTATCTGATGAGAGGATAGAGAAAATGCCAAGAAGTGCTGTATCTTTTAAAATAGCATTTCTAATTGCGCATGAAAACGCGTAAAGACTCTGAAACAACGAAATCAGTCCTAAAGTAAACAAGGATCGAAAAGAAATAAAAATAGCAACTAAAACTTCTTAAGAAGGTTCTCAGTGATTAGTGTCAAAAAAAAGCAGGAGAATAGGAAGTATAACAAACTCATAGTGAGAATTGTCGAATGCAAGTAAACAAATGCGCACTAAAATTAGGTCCCAGATCTTTCAAAAAACGCAGACGTGTACTTTTTATTTCTAAATAAAACTCTGTAAACAAGTCCTTATCAATCTGCATGTTCCATATTCCCATTGCTGTTTTTCGAGTTAGCTATTATCTTTGTGAGCATAACACAAAAATAAAATAGCGAAACAACAACAACCGCTTTCATAGTAGTAGCGTGGTTACTATATATATAGTGCTCACTTGCAGTCGTCTGACAACGAAAAGAAAGAATTTAGGCAATTAACCGTATACTTTTGGCACTGTCCCGTAAATTGAACATCTTTAATAGTAAAACGGCTGTTCTTTAATATTCGGCGCAACTGTAACCCATTCAAGAATGATTCAGCTTCGGTCTTTACACTAAGCTCTGGAGGTGTCAATAGCCAGACTGGAGGTGTCATAGGATAAGACTACTGTCGTTATCAGGGTTGCCAACTCTTCTTATTTATCAGAATTTTTCTGATTTTGGCGTTTTTTTCTGATCGCTTTCTGATTTTCTGATTTTTTCTGATTTTTAACTTTTTTAATTAGTGCTGGAGAAGATGGTGTCCGAGAAAGAGGCTGACGTAATATCTCGATGTATGTCTACACTACTTGAGTTATTGGTTTAATTGGATGTGTTTGAGTCCAATCATAAATGCATAATGCTATTATCTTCACAAAT